CCGGATTGATGTGGCGATTGAAGAGTTTCTGGGCGTCCACCACGAAGTACCTAGGTTTCTGATCTGCACTCTACACTTCACCATCGTTTAGGCGGAAGGGGTCGAAGAAGGAAAACTTCTCTACTTTGTCTTTCAACGGCGACCAGGCGTGATCGAACGAGCCATACGTCCCGGCAACGACGCGTTTCAACCGTGGTAGCGTGCAGAGCGACTAAAAGGTGGATTCTACATGGTCAATGCCAGTCCATCGCGAGCGCTATGTTAGGGAACTGCTCCTTCATGATGTCCTTGATCTTCGATGCTATCTCCTTGTGCTCGCGCTGTGAGCCGTTGCTACTCCTGAGGTCCACGTAATGTATCCAGTCCCTCGCGTTCATGGTCATGTACAGCTTGGTCTGCGTGGACATGGGCAGGACGAAACGTGCACACTCCTTTGCTATGCCTTTCTCCAATGCCTGCGAATATGTGGCGTACGAATCCTTCCACAGCCTATCCTGCTCCGCCACGAACCAGGCCTTCACGTCTGGCGGCAGGTCGTCCACGGACGACTGCCTGTTCTTGGGGTCCTGGCTCCTGGCTTCGTACACCACGTTCGCATCGGCCTTTGCATACCTGGTGCTGAATTGCTGAAAAGTAGCCGACCTGTGCCTCAGGATCTGCTCTGCTATGGCTCTGCTGGTGGTTATCTCGACCGTCATGGAGGCGGTCTCGAAGACCGACCAGTGACGATTCTTGATGCAATAACGCAACAGCTTGGCACCGCTCTCGTAGTTCCTCTGGTTCTGGGGATTGGAAACCCGCGCGGCGTGCACTATGATGTCCTCCGGCCCTAGCCCCTCCAGTTCGCCCGCGCCTCTGCTGAGTGCCACCAGCTTCACCTCGCAAGCTGCCATCTTTTTATGTGGACTACAAAAATACAAATCCAGTGCCTAAACCGACACATCACTTTCGTAGCACGTTCAGAAACATCCCGATCATCTCCCCGTGACCCTCCAAGGGGTATACTCCGCCTACCGCGTCGGTCAGTCGCCAGCAGGTGTATATCGCCAAGTCTCGGACTCTGGATTCGATACTCAATCTAGGTATGGCAAGAGCCAGCTGCGAGTTCAATCTACGCAGACGTTCTCCGTTATCGTCCTTGCAGAGCTCCATCTTGGCAATGATCTCCAGCAGCACCCACACCCGATCTTCCACCGTGGACTCGGGAGACAGAGTCGAGAATCTCCTTTGGAGCTCGCCCAGGACCTCGGCAGTCGTCCGAAACCACATCCTTGTCTGACGCAAAAGGAAAAAATTGGATCCATGCACCCGAAGTCGAACTTTCGGACGGTATGCTCGCAGTTTTCCTACGCCCGAAACCGACCGCCCGAGAAATTTCTTTCGGGCGCCACCTTTCGCGAAAATATACTCGTAGGTTTTTCACGCCCGAAACCGACCGCCCGAGAAATTTCTTTCGGGCGCCACCTTTCGCGAAAATATTCTCGTAGGTTTTCTACGCCCGAAACCGCCCGAGAAGTTTCTTTCGGGCGCTTTTCAAGCAGTATGCTCGCGGTATGCCTCAAAGCGAAAGCCCGAGAAGTACTTTTCGGACGGAGATCGCTCTATAAAAGGAGGTTCCTCTCGTTCTCATTCTCAAAAACGCACTTGGCCTCCCCCTTCCCAACAGCTTGCAAGCAACTCCCTCGCACACAGCATCCTTCTGCCTATCTGCCCTTTCAGCAGCGGCACAGCTTAGCCGCTTCCTTCTCTCCCAACAGCACCCTATTCTCCCACAGCTCGCTTCCCTTTCCTCCACTCACCAGCCAGCAGCACCTCATACTCGCACAGCTCGCTTCCTCCAACACCAGCAGCAACGAGGCCAAGTCGCGTCAGATAGTCACGCCGGCCGGCCTTTTGCCTTGTCCTTGTTTTCCTTTTTGCTGGTCTGCGCAGACCTCTCTTTTCTTCTTCGTGTCTCTGCAAGCCTGGCCAGGCTGTCGTGTCATGCTGCTCTTCGGCAGCTCTTTTTTCTGCCGTGTCTTAGCTGGGCTCCCGCTTCTTTGCGGCTCCCCTCCACTGTCTTTGTCTTTCGCTGGCCTCTCGGGCCTTGTAGCTGCCTCGTGCAGCTCCTTCCGAGAAGTATCAAGGTGAGCATTAGTGAAGTAGGATATCTTGAAGTTACTCCATGATCTGCTTCTCGTTTGCTTTGCGAAATATTTGCATAGAAATGTTCCCTCTGTTGCTCTTCAAACTCGTTGTTTGCAGCATCCTCGCATCGACTACCTCCTGAGGCTCCGCTCGCATCCGCTAGCTGGCCTCTCGGCCCTTGCAGCTGCCTTGTGCCGCTCCACACCTATCAATCAGATAAGTTCCCTCTCTTGCTCTCCAAACTTCTGATGTTTGCAGCATCCTGCCTCCTTGAGTAGGCTCCGCTCGCACCCGTCGGGCAGGGTGCCGATAAGAGCGAGCATTTGCGGCTCTGTGGGTAGTGCCGTTTGTCCACGGTACGCATACCACTCTGCCTGTAGGCTCCGCTCGCACCCGTCGGGCAGGGTGCCGATAAGAGCGAGCATTTGCGGCTCTGTGGGTAGTGCCGTTTGTCCACGGTACGCATACCACTCTGCCTTTTCACTCCGTCTGACGATGTCGAAAAGCTGTCCGAGCTACTGATCACTTTTACGCTCCACTCACAGGTCCTGATCATCGAGCCTTTTGACGAGCGGACGCGACTGGAGATCACTACCCTGTGCCTCGTCTACGATCAGGGGCTCGACACACCATCTATGGTCCAGATTTGAATCAAACGGAGGCAAGTCTCGACTGAGTCTTCGAATGCATTCGCTGCTGAGTCATATGCACAGGGCGTTTCGTTCCTTCGTAGCAGCAATGACAAAATCCCCCCTGCCGCCTTTGTCTTAAGAGTAACATGTTTCTTTTTCTTCTTACAGGATATCGCTCGCCGCATGGAGGAGTCTTCGTTTGCACTCTGAGTCCTTTTTCTGGGCGTGTGCTTTCTATGTGACGTGATTCTGGGTTCTTTTCTGGGCGTATGGAATGATTTTTCTGTGACTTTTCTTCGACTTCTTGGCTGTCAGTCTGTCTTTCTGTCTCTGTCGAGTCGGTCGGTCGGTCAAGTCCAGTCGAGTCGGTCGGTCGGTCAAGTCCAGTCGAGTCGAGTCGGTCGGTCCGTCGAGTCCAGTCCTGTCCCGTCGGTCAGTCCCACCAGCTATACACACCCTACACTAGACACCCTACACTATACACACCCCTCACCCTCTTACCCACTCCAAATACCCTACTGCCTTACCCTTCCCTCCCACACACCCTACTTCTTAACCCTTTCCTCCCACATACCCTACTGCCCTTACCTATTCCTCACACCCTAATACTACCCTTACCTATCCCTCACACCCTATACTAACCTTACCTCCCTCACACCCTATACTACCCTTACATATCCCTCACACCCTATACTTACCCTTACCTATCCCTCAAACACACCCGCAGTAGAACCACAGATGGCTGCTGCGACCCGCAGCTGGGGTTCGATTCCCCATGTGGTTGGACGACGTTGCACATCGAATTATTGCCGGTTGAGATTACTGGTTGTGAATACGTTTCTTAGTATACTTTTCTCTCTACATCATGAAGACAACAACCAGCAACCAGCAAGGTTGGGGAACTTAAGGGAGTTCAGAGATCGATCTGTCCAATCTAGAAAGATCAGATCGATCACCCCTTTTCTTAGGGTCATTGAAAAATGGACCGGTTGCCGGTTGCTGGATGGTGACGTGGCACATCGAAAAG